GGTGCCGGAATTTATAACTTGTGTTGGGCAAGATCGTGGTCTAGGCAACACGGGGTTTTCCTCCGGGGGCTTCCCCGGTTTCTCTGTGGCATCCCAACAATTACTCCATTCACACACAGACGAAGGCAATGGCAAACCACTTCTGGATCATCTGCCAAGAACGTATATGAACAGGTCCCAGTCCGAGAAAAGGATGGAAGGATCCTGTTCATATGGACCTGTCCTCAGACAGAACACTAAATAAATAATAAAAAAATAAAACTTAACATCGTGCAATTAGGAATAAACGTCCTGAACTACTTCACAATGTCATCGTCCTTCGGGACAATGTAAACGCCCACAAAATTCTTTTACGACGTTGGAGATGGGAAGGACTACACCATCCTCCATATTCAGCCTACCTTTCGCCATGTGACTATGATTTAATACCCAAATTGAAACAGCCATTGCGAGGGAAACGCTTTCATACACGAGAGGACATTTCCAGCGCAGTTCGGCTCCAGATGGTAGGATTTGGAGTTGGTGAAGCTGATGGTATTCGCTGTCTTTCTCGTCGTTGGCATCGAGTACTTGATACACTCGGAGACTACTTTGAAGGTTGCTAGTCTTAATGTAAGAATTTTGATTTAACTCACATTGAATTTTTGAATGTTTTTAATCACAATTGAATTTTTCGAGGATTATAGAATGAAACAATGGTCATTCCGTAATGTGCCTTTTTACTTGTCTACTATTCCTACACACATTCACACCTACCTGATCTGACTACGCCAATCGGAGGAGTATATCATGCCTTTTCATGTGTATATTAATGAACTTTCTTCAATATAACGTGTTTGCCCCCCCAAAAATAGTTGTCATGACTTTTTAAGCAACCCTCGCATTATTCGTTGCAGCTATAACGATTTGGAGCTTATTTTTAACATATCATAAATGTAATCTGGAAAGTTCAAAATGGCAAACTCTTAACCCTTCAGCGTGGGAATTTAAATTCCGCGCTGCTTGGCGAGGAGTGGTGGCCATTTAAATTTTGCTCTAAAACTAAGTTCAAAATGGCAAACTCTTAAGAAGGACTGTGTTGTCACTAAATTACAGCACAAAGTAATTCCCTTTGTATTATTTTCAGCTACCAACAATGTAAATATCGAACGACAATGGTCAGCTATAAACCACACCAGTAATAACAATATTGGATTAACAATTAAAAAATTTGTGATTCCTCGTTGTCTTCAACCAATTTGTCTTCAAAAAATGACGTCATCAACAATGTCAACAGATATTTGTTTATACACGGAATTGTTGTGGACACAACAATGCCGTGTAAACAAAAAACGCTTCACAACAAGGAAATCAAATAATATCAAGCCAGTCGCATTATCACTGCTCCAGAAGGAGCACGTCGCATTATTAAAAATTGCCCGACATCTGGCCTAAAACATCAGGAAAGTGAAAGAAGACGTTATCAACTATTTGAAGTACCAACTCTAACAACTCCAACAAGGTAAACTGATACGCATTCGATATATTACGATTATGAAAACTATTATAAAAACTGACTTTATGATCGATTTTAAGAC